ATGAAGTTTAACATCAGCTAGCCTTCAATTAGTCAGTGTCCTTCAAGAAAATAATTTAATGGTGTTGTCCTCTGCATATCTAATCAACATTAAGTCCAGTTAGTTCAAATGGACTTACCCTCTTTTAAGTGAATGCCAGTTGCATCCAAATAAATATGGAGAGAACTTTCCAGAGCATTTATACACCTGTCAATTGACAGTATTCTGATTCCTCAGGAGACAATATTTTAAAGTTTTTAGCCAGGCATTATAGCAACTAATGGCATGGACCTAGAATTCACCTTGTAAAATCTGTAAATTTAATGATATCGATCTATTTAGGAGGGTGAGGTTTAATTGAAATCCACACAAGTATAAATTAAAATGTTATACTTCAGTTCTTGGAACATCTAGTTAAATGCTTTAAGGTATGCTGATAAATGTACCTGTGCTCTCCTTGCTGCACTAATTTTTTGAGTTTTAATAATGTTGCATTGATAATATGCCCTACTTTCAAAAGTGTACCTCTAACAATAATACTTCAGTAGATGAGTGCGGATTCATATGTCATTGAGAGAGTTCCCTATTAAGTGAAAATAAGGGAGAATTTCTTGCAAGATCCAAATTTGTTTGGGCATGTTGGTCCACCATCAGAAAAGAATGAAAATTTTGGAGAATTCCCTATTTTAAAATTAATAAAAACTCAGCTCTTATCATAGAACTATACAAGTAATCAATGTCATAAAAACTTTACACATGGCTCAGATTTCAAATTCAAAAGTGAAAGAAAGGAATGTTGATTGTCTTTTTATTCAAACATAATTAGCAAAGATTTTATGCAATTATGCTGGATTTTATATTTGTTTTAATCGTGTTAGTTTGTTAATTAAACTAGTGAAACGCATTTCAATATGTAACATTCAGCAAAAGCAACGGTATAGTCCTTTTGGAAAGCAGTTTTGGAAAGCCAGACTGATTGTATAGAACAACCTGTGTCAGGTATCATGCCATCCTATAGCAGGATTGATGGGCATCTACTCATGACCCTTCCTGCTGATTACTATTGTGCTCTCCCTTGCCCTGCAGACTGGCTTTGTATTTATGCTGAGGCACACTGTCAAAAAGAGATTAAAGACAAGTTCATGTCTTCAAGAATGTGGTCCAGATGTTCTTCCCTACTGATAATGCAAAGACTTCTCTTCCAAGCAGCTGGTGGTAGATAAAGCAGCACACAATGTCAGAGCCCCTCAGCAATCTTCAAGCAGCCTTCATGCTGCAGCACCAATCCTGGAGAATAAGATTGATTGATATAAATGATAATAGCAGATTGTCTGTAAACATAAAGAGATCTTTCTTTAAAAGAATGCATGCATTTTCTTTGGAGGGGACCATGTTCTTTGTCTGGTTAGTGGGATGTAAAATATGAAAGGCTAAGAACCACTATATTAAGACATTTTTACAGTTTTTACTGATATTTATTCATTAGATTTATATCGTCTAGAAACTCATATCAATATAGGTACCACTCCCTTCTCCAGTGTTTTCCACACAACTATGAACCTGTGAGATAAACTGATCTGAGAGAGAGTGACTGTCCCAGAATTATCCAGTGGGCTTTGATAGCAAAAGATATAACTGAACCCATGCCTCTCCAACAGCAATCCATAAATCACATGCCACCCAAGCATCCATATTGAAGTGTTCCATATGTCTTGAATAAAGAATACATTTTTAGAGAGACTTGTATAAATGTGTAGATTTTACCCTTCGGGCTTAGTCCAGTGTTAGTCTTTGATGTCTCCTTTCAACATAAAACAAAAAAAAGAGGATTTGAAACTGATATTGACTTTTAATTTATAATGCATATAGATATATAAGCTATACTTGAACATAAAATCATCACCTGCACAAATTTATTATTGCTTATGCTTATCTGAGACACAAAGAAGATGGCTTGTACATCTGATACAATATTATACACAACAGTCCTAAGATTCTAACAAACACTTCCAAAGGGTATGTATATGTGTGCGTATAGTGTGCACACACACACACACACACACACACGGAGGCAGATTGGTTAGATGTTCAGCCAATATGTAGAATTCAGATAACCCCTCCCATATCTCCTGTCTTGTACCATACCAGTATCTTAACACTGTCATATTAGATAATTACAATAGAAATGCAACAGAGGAAAAAATACTCCTTTAAGTGAATGCAATGAATTTTAAGAGGAAAGGGGAAATACAAACATCTCTGTTCAAAAAAGAATGGTTCATTCTGAGTTATGGCCAGACTCATTCAAGTCTGGATTTGACTTGAAATAATGTGCATTCTAGTTCTGCCAATTCCATTCTGATTTTTAAAGATCCTCTGTTTTGCAGAGGAGGAAAATTAAGCAATAATTCAGAGCTCAGTAGCCATAGTGTCTTGCATCCAGAACAAAATAAATAGCACTCCGTTTCCTTTGAAATCCATGCAATTTCAATTTGGCATGACTAACTTTTCATATTGATTTCAGTGAGACTGAAATGTAATTAGCTTGGTCTGGACTTTACAAAACTGTATTGGATCAGGTATATAATAGATATCTCAAATTGGTATATAATAAGGCTGTGCAGTCCTTTGGATTCTATTGTAAAAATGTGCCTTGAAGCATATGGGGGTGTGCATATAGCTATCTGAATTTGTTTAAGTACCTTCACTTTTTCCCAAAACTCCATGCAGCAGTTTTAATGAGTACTAAGACAGACTTTGTGTTCTTGCATGTTCTGAAGCACCTTTCTGGGGGGAAAAAACAAATCCAAAGCATTGCACATCCTTAGTCTACAATATATGCTCAACTCAGGTAACTGAATTAATGGAATTTGTGCCAAACATCCTTGGTTACTCACCAAATAGCTCATGAACTGTAATTTATGTTTTACTATCATACAGCAACTTGTGTATGGTAAGCAAGTATGTACAGTAACATACTTTCATCAACCTAGGTTCGCTTTTGCATATGTGTAAAGCTGGTTTTATGTTGGGTATGTGATTAAAGTACAATGTCTTAAGCCTCTGTTTCTATGTATGGCCTGAAGTTCTAACCAGCAGGTACAGTATGAGTGAAGGTGGCTAGAAAGAGAGCATTATACAGTGCCAAGAGTCCAGGTTTAATATTCAGCAATACAGAGTAATGGACCATCATGGACTGTGATGTCACAGGCTGTAGCCTACATGGGAGAGAGAAGGGACCTAAAGACTAATTTGCCCTTCATTTCATTCAAGATTTATTACTGAACACATGTGAGTCCTCAGTCCAGCTGCCATGACTAAAACAGCCTTCTATGTTTTATAACTTTGGTATCTTGTGTGGACTTCCTTATAAGCAGCCAATTATTGAATACCTGGCTGTTCTTCCAGACATTTGGGTCAGAGGAGGGATGATCTCTGCCACTAATGATGGTTAACAGTTTATCTCTGAGCGTCAGGGAGTTATGTTTGGGGAGTTTGTTTGTTTTTAAACTTGTAAGCCACTCAGTTACTGTCTGTCTGTCTGTCTGTCTGTCTGTCTGTCTGTCTGTCAGCTATTGTAATGATATTTGTAAGAGGAAAAGGTAGATTTTAAAACAGATTCAGCAATTCCATTTCTTCAAGGGGACATTACTGGAAATTAAAAAAATAGCTGTGGTGAACTGCTTTATTCTTTTTAAAGAGTCAATGTGGAGATTTGAAAAAAAAAATCAATAGAACTTCTTACCAGCTAAGGAGAAAAGAGCTCTAGTTTGAATCATATACACTCACAATGACTATAATGTTTTCAGACTATAATGTTTTCCATATAGAGCTGCCTTTGAAAACAATTTGATGACTTCAGCCACTTTAAAGTCTGTGATCTTATTATCCAAGTTTGCATCATTGGCATTGGCTATTCTTTTCCAAACTCAATTTATAAAATATTGCTAATCTTTAAAATTTGTTCTCTACAAAAATCTGGAATGAATCAAGTGCTGACTCTGGCTCTCTCTATTTGATAATAAAGCCTATATTTTGTAGGAAATGTTGGTGTCTCATCATGATTCTATGCATGTCTGCCTACACATGTTTACACTGGAATGCAGGCTTATTTCATAAGAGCAACAGTGCAAAGGCATTTCCACTGATGAAAGAGAATGAAAACATTTGACTTAAATAAAGTTGTTATTCTATTATGTAATATTATACTAAAATTAGCTGTTTTTAAGCTGGCCTAGTAAGACCATTTGTTTTTATATCATTTAATTGTTTGCATTAATAAAGTCATCATAAGAATACAGCCAGATTATGAATAGAAAGTAAAATATTTTAGAAGCCCCCAAGCCAGAATTTATGTTATTTATATGGCCACCCACTCACAGAGCAACTTTTTAAGCCATAGCCATATCATAAGGCATGGTATTACCTTTATTAAATAGTTCAATTAAAGTACTTATTGAGCTCTTATCATGTACAAGTCTTTGTGTGTGTGTGTGTGCGTGTGTGTGTGTTGGGTCAGAGTTTACAGCCAGAGTTTCTCAAGCAGAGATGTCAACAACAGATGGCCAGTTTCAGGGCAAGAAGTGCAGGGGAAATAATCCACAAAACCATGTGAACAGCAGGAGAAAGACATACAGGCATTAAACCACAGTGGGCATAAAAAGGATGTTGCATCTTCATATTGATAGAGGACAGTTCTTTTCTTACTTAGTTGTGCTTTGCCATGTATCTGAAAGCCTTAAACTGAGTTAAACCTAGAGCCAGGTGCCTGTGAATTTCTGTTAAGGCCTGGCCGGTGAGCCTGATAGCTTATATGGATTGGATTGTTCATTTATTAGCATCTTATCCATCCTTATCACATGAGTGCATTTAATTTCTATGTATCGTATCCCAATTAATTTGGGATATGAATTGGGTTTTTTTCTTGGTAATGGCTTACTAGCTAGTTTTTTTGTTTGTTTCTGGAAGCTAAGGATAATGTTTCTTTTCTGCCCCCCCCTTTTTTTTTTAACACCACAGGAGTCATAAGAACAGCTCTGCATAACATGGACAGGGAAGCCAGAGAACATTATTCGGTTGTCATTCAAGCCAAAGATATGGCTGGACAAGTTGGAGGGTTATCGGGATCAACCACAGTAAATATCACACTCACCGATGTCAACGACAATCCTCCCAGGTTCCTTCAGAGTATGTAAAGGTTTGATCTGATTTATTTCTTCCGAACAAAAACTGTCTGCCATTACAATTTCAGGGAGATTCTGTTAAAATGAAGGATGAGCTGTGAATAACAATCAAGATATTTGACAGTGGCAAACTGTGTTCACTAACTCCTAAGAAGTAGTATTTGCAGTGGAATCTTCACCCAGCAAAACCTTCTCCTCTTTTTTCTTTTCTGCTTTCACAGATGTGGGTATATAAGTACAGGTAGTCCTCAGTTAATGACAACTCGTTCAGCAACCATTCAAAGTTATGACGGTGCTGAACGAGTGGTGCTTACGACCGGTCCTTGAGGTTCTGGCCATCCCAGCACCTCCACGGTCACATGATCGCAATCCAGGCCTTGGCAACTGGCTCACACAATGGTTGCAGCATCCCATGGTCACATGATCATCATTTACAATCTTCCCTGCCAGCTTTCCACAAGCAAAGTCAACGGGGAAGCTGGCAGGGAAGGTTGCAAGTTGCTCCTTTAAGTAACTCCCCCTTCTGCCACTTTTTCTCCCAAGGAGTCTGGCTACTAAGGATGAGATCCCCAGCTACCTGCATGCCCTCCTGCACTCTACGGCACCACCCAGGTATACTCGCGCTGCAGCAGCCACCTGTGAACACTCCTGCACTTCACAGCGGCCACCCCCCTGCCCAGCCACACTCCATAGCACTCACCCATCTGCCAGCCTGCTTGCAAGCCTGCTTGTGAGCCTCCCAGGACTTGCGACTTCCTACGTGCTTCCCCATTAATTCTGTTTGTTGGAAGCTAGCAGGAAGCCATATGTCACAGGAGTTCCTCACTTAAAGACCTGCGCTCCTCACTTAATGACAGCAACAGCGACTGCTGGGATTGCCATCGCAAAGCGATACAGATACATAATGTTCTGCTTTACAACCACATCACTTAGCAATGGAAATTCCAGTCCCAATTATGGTAGTTAAGTGAGGACTACCTGTAATCAGGTGTATGGTGGAAAACATGGGACTGGGAATCTGGACCAACATGTCTGGATCAGAAGTTGATTAGAAGCAATTCATTCATTCATTCATTCATTCATTCATTCATTCATTCATTCATTCATTCATTCAATTTGTATGGTATAAGGAACAAATAGTATTTAGCAAAATACTTTCCCCTGTTTTCACTCACCCAGTCGCTTCATCTTCCATTCTGTGTTTTCTCCCATTCCACGTGGCAAATACTGTAACCAAGGTGATAATCCTGCAGTTCAGAAAAGGGTTAAGCACCTCTATATTTTGTCCACCATGTTATGCATGGCAAAATTTGCTTTGCACCAAAGAAAAGTTAGATTCCCAGTCCTATGTTTGCCATTAAATGCTTAGTTTAATATTGAATAGGCAGAAAATGGCATATTTAATGTACATCGGTTTTCTTTTAATCCTTGAGATGAAAAAGTTAAACATTTTTTCCTAATGTATTTGAAATAGGATTTAATTGTTAATGTAGAGAGACACAAAATGTATTACCTAGCACAGAGTTTCAATAAGTTGTTTCCATATTAAGATCAAGTTTGAATACCTAAAGACATTCATTTTAACCTATGCCTGTATATACTTACATCAAAAGAAAAACTGCTTGTCACCCCACAAAACTATACAAAAGAGCAATTTCCTTACAAGTTAAGAGTTAATTGCATATTGTAAACCTTCCTAGTTAGCTGCATTTCTTTATGAATTCTGAAATCTGCTTCTCTTCTTTTGGAGAGGACTTCCAAGGCATACTAGACTAGCTGGTCTCCATTTTACTGGATTTTATAAAGCTTGTGGTAAGTTCTGGCGTACTAGAGTGCTAATGTCATTGAAGAGTATCAGTTTGCAGAATGATTGTCATCAGACATCAGAAAACGACCATATTTGGGATATTTTTTATTAGGGGAATAGCTGTAGCTTAGTGGTAGAGCAAATGCTTTGTATGGGATCTCCAGACAGGGCTGGAAAAATTGCTCTAGACAACTGCTGACATTTAGTATCCACAGTACTAAGCTAGATTCAGTATAAGACAGCCTGTAATATTCCTGCTCCAATGTTCCTAACGAGAGCATGGGAAAAGGAGGATCACATAAAGCAACACAGATCTTAGACAGAATTGTAGAAAAAAGCCTGGCAATGAGACTGTTTTCTCTACATTTGCAAATATTTGTTTATTGGAATGTTGCACTATTTCTAGCAATGAAACTGACCAAACAATCCAAAACATGTTTATTAAAAAGGAAAGACCTCTTAGATCAAGGGGAATTTCTCCCTAACAAGGTTATTTAAGATTGGGAAAAAAAAGGTAATACTTAAGTTTTGTTTTGTTTTTTAATCTGGATTTTTAGTGTTCTCTCTGTTGCAAATGCAAACTGTGTGACCGAGCTAAGTTTAAGGGTGCCAGCATTTCTGCAGATAATTTTTCCATGATGATCTCCTCAAGGAAGGGTGAATGAATGACAATGCTTCATTTAAGTGTATTCCTACATTAATTTTCTTCCCTTCAATTAACAAATATACTGCATGCAGCATGTCTCCAATGTACTTGAGTCTAATTGTTCTTCATTTAAAAAAGAAAGCATACAAAAGAAAGGAAATGTTTCATATTTTTTATTGAAGAACAGAACTAGCTAAGAGTTGAAGTGCATAAATGACTAGTTTAAAAGCTTTTCCAGCATGTAGCATGAGATAGTTTTCTCAGCTGGAATCTAGATTTTTTTCTGTAGGTGAGATGGAGAAACTAAACAGAAGTGCATTAAATGCTTTAGTTGCTAAAGGTGCTTACTCAAATGGTAGAAGGACAAAATTTCTCAAGATTCCCACCACCCTTACGATAACATTTATTTTGAGCCTCCTGCCATTTGCACTTGAGGCACAGATATCAAGATTATTTGGGAGTAAAACAATCAATACTGTCTTTGCCATCATAAAATAATACCGTACATGAGACAGAAGTGTAAGAAAAAATTGGACTTAAAAAAAAAAATTCTGCTCTTCCTGGGAGTAGGTTTTCTTAATTGTATCCATTACTGCTGGTTGTAAAGGATTGTACACTCTGTGGACTGATGTACATGATGCAAATGATATTTTTCTTCTATTAGGTAGGTATCTACTGCGTCTTACATCACTACAGAGTATTTGAAAGCACAATTCATTGCTCCCTTGCCCATTGTTTAAAGTTTATTTAATGTTCATGTGCCCTCCAAAAGGGTACTACAGGAAACCATCAGTTTAACAGATTAATGGGAAGGAAGGTATGTCCAAGCCAGATGTCTGTTAAAAGGCAAATGAGATTTTTCAAGCTCAAAGACACACTCATACATGAGTAAAGCTGATGACGGTAAATACTACATCCATTTTGAAGAAAAACCATGAATGTTATCCATACTAATTCACACACTAAATTCATTGATTGGGATGAAGCCTATTATTGCCTGAAATTCAGACAAAACTCAGATCCAGCAATTGTTAGTCACTAAAGATGGGGACAGGAAAGGAATAGGTTTACTCCACCTTCTCAGGTGAACAAACCTTCAGCAGAACAAACACTGCCCAATACAAGTCAAGTTCACTAGCCTACATTGCTTTTTTATGAAATCCATAGGTTTTCAACATCCATCTTGTTTGCCAGCCATTACTTCTATTCCAGTTTCTCCTTTCTCCTCTCCAGAGTCCTCTCTGATTACTACTTCTGTTCCCAACTTATCAGTGAGGGCTCTGGCAAGAACCTTTCCTTTGAAAAACAAACTGTTTCTACTCTTCTTATCAGCAAAGGTAGCTGATACAAAGTGTTTGTTCTTCACAGAAGCCTGGATGCATGACCAGCCAACAGGAAATGTGGCTGAATGAAGACCTGTCACATGGGCACACATACCTATTTATATACAGTATAATGCAATTCCCAGAAATTACAGCATATGGATAGAATTTCTTGTCCATTTCAACATTGGGTTATGGTCTTATTTATTTAACATTTATATGACCACCCATTTCATAGCAATAGCATGATCTTTATGTATTTACTTATTAGATTTATATCCTGCCTTTATTTTTACAAGGCAGCACACATAATGTTCCCACCTCCTATTTTCCCCACAACAACAGTAACCCTGCAAGATGAGCTGGGTTGAGAGAGCGTGACTGACCCAAAGCCACCCAGCCAGCTTTTGTACCCAAGGGAAGGCTAGAACTCACGGTCTTCCAGTTTCTAGTCTAGCACCTTAACCACTACATCAACCTGTCTTCATTATATGAAATGGATAAGAACCTCAGTTGATTACTTGAACATCTGAGAGTTGCACAAATTGAAGAAATATGCTCACTTTTGCATGAAATGAACTGAAATTGTATTCACCTATTAGAGAAAATGAGGTGCCTGTCATGAAAAGGCCAGTTTTTAAATGAAACTGTCCATTATGTTCAAGGATTACAACATATGCACACAGAAACTCTGCAATTAAAATAAAATAACTGTGTTTTTTTCTCTTCCTCAAGAGTTTTTATGTTCATTTTCAATCACCTCCCATATCGGTCAGATCATTAAAAAAATAACATCATAAAGGAAGATGAGTCACAATGAACAATTTTCTTAGAATTTCTCTTCTCTTCCCTCTCTTTTTAATACAGGCAACAAATGTGTACTCCTGTTGCCTCTGTGCTTTGTTTGAGAAATAATGAGGGAGGGCTTCCCATCATTTCAAAGTTGCACTATTTCAGCCTGTTTCACTATTATGCTATTTCAAACTCTGGCAAGTAGTTTTCTTTATGGTTCACTCTTTGCTGTATCCAGCTCTTTAGGGAGGCAGCAGCAAAAAGTTGGTAGAGAAGGCTTACTAGGGACTAGAGGAGACAGAATATGCTGTGGTCACCCTAAAATGCCAAAAAGTCTTTATCTGATCTCAGCTGGTACTGGTGATCTGGTTTTGCCTCAGAGGCAATGGATAACAAAGTGTAAAAAATTTTTTACACACCTCACAGCTGTTGTTGGATACTGTCAGCTTCTTTGTTATTGATGCAGCTAAGAACTACTTAATCCTGTCCCAGGATGGCAACATGATGGCAAATGACAGAAAGAAAGATGCTGTTAGGGTACTTTTGTACCATGCTAGATACAAATTGAGCAAACTCCGGGAAGCAGTGAAGGACAGGAAGGCTTGGCGCAATCGGTTCATGGGGCACAAAGAGTCAGGCACAACTTAACAACTGAACAACAACAACAACAACAACAACAAAGATACAACTAAGGAAAGACCATGAGCAGCAGGAACTTTCAACTTGAGTCTTCCTCAGTCCTAGTCGAACAGTTAAACACTGCATTATACTCCTACAAAAAGATTTGATGTAGACTGAAAAATGTCTAGCAAGATGTGCTTCCAGAGGAAAGAAATGAATTTCCATTGTTGCAAAAACATTGTTGGGAATCCTTTTTCTTTCATTGATCTTTCTCTCTGTTGTCTATTGTTGAATAAATTGTTCAATCTTCTCTTGACAGAAAATAAGCATGGCTCTTAGAACTGGTGGGTGTGCCATTATTGAAGATGTTTGATCGCTCACAACATACAGGAAACTCGGCCTACTTTTGATCCAAACAAAGTCCAAACTCCTCTGTACTTTTTTTGGAATATATAAAAGAGAGATAGAGATAGAAAATTATTTAAAGCTTTTCTGTATTGGTTATCAGTTAAAAACTGATAATCATTAAGCACTGACAAGCTTACTGAATATCTGGAAAATAGAAGGACATACAGTATTAATTACCACATGAGACAAATTCAGTGCATAGTTGCTCACAACTAAATTGCAGAAAAAGAGTTACTTCCAAGTAACATGTGCCTGGGTTTGTAGTCTTCCAGAATGAAGAGCTAGCTCATGAAGGGCATTTACTGTTTTCTACAAAGAGAAATATTCTGACATATTCATTATAAATGTCTATTTAGTAATGATTGGCTACTGAGGAATTTTTGCTGCTAATTACAAACAGGTTCACTCCCTTTTCTCCTAATTCTTGATTTATCACACTGATTCTGATATTGATGTTGAATTTTAAAATAATGGTTTGATTTTACCTTTCCTTTTTTCCCCTCCCCCAACCCCTCCAGCCTGCATGTCTCAAGATAGCCAAGTGGTAATTTCAGCTGTATTGCAAAACCCACTGCAGTCATAATTGTAGCTTTCTTAGCCTCAGAGCAGCAAGTATGTTTTTGTTTCTTTTTATATTAAGGTCAGCTGGTGGGTGCACAAATGTTCTCTTAAGAAATAATCTGATTCAGTGCAGTGACGTTTTGAATGGTAAAGTTTCTTACAATTGCAAGACACATCAATGTAGGAGGGGGAGAACTCACTTTAGGGTTTTTAAATTGCTTAGTTTTTAACTCAGTGAAATTTACAGACCTTGTTTCCTTGGCCATTTGGGAGGCAAGAACGATGCAAGCTCAAAAGTGTTGTATTTTTTCTCTATGGCTTCAAAGATATAAATGCTGTTACAGCTTTAAAGTCAAACAATTCAGGGAAACAAAAGAAAAGTTCTCAGATCCTTTATATTCATTTAAAATTTTACTTACTATACTGAACTACTGTCTTGCATTACACAGCATGTCTTCTAAGAGCAGAACACAAAAGAGTCCCAAATAAAGCCAGTGCTTCTTCACATCCAACAAAGTTATGGAATTGGCCAAAAGAAAAATTGGTTATGGCCACTAGCTTTGATAGCTTTTAAAGATTACTTCAGAATTTCAACTTCTGCAATGATGAATAACAGCAGTAGGCTGTTCCTGTCATTTCCTGCTTGTGGGCTTCCCATTCAAAATAGAATATTAAACTAGGGCTACAGTATGTCCAGAAAGGCCTTAGCTGCATGGTCTCGGAGCTCTAGCAAGATTTGCATGCTCTTTCAATCTTTGGCCAGAATAACTTGGGATTCTAGAAGCACAACTGCAATTTCTGTCCTTGAAATGATGTACTTCTACAACTGAAATCTCCTGGGATTATTTTCTTTCAGGGTTAAATTCCTTTTGATCAATGTGCTTTGCCAGCCCATGACAAATTTTATTTCCACAGGATTTATTGGTAACCAATATACAAGGAGATCACAGAAGAGAATCCTGGGCATTGTGGGGACGAGGAACATTTTCTATTGTTTTGTACTTCTCCTAGGTAGCAACTGTTAGCAACCAGGCCTGTAGTTTGGGATAAATGAGAATAAGTGGTCGATCTAATTCTGCTAGTCCTCTGACTCTAGACCTTGTATAAACAAAGGGTTTGGTAATTTATAAGGTTAGTTAATTTATGATGGGAAGCTAGCCATTGTCTTAGCATACTTTCTGAACGAGGCCATCGTATTCAATCATATTGTGATTTCTTTGTTTTGGTATAGCATATTATATGGACACACCAGCTGTGTTTTGTTAATTTGGATTTAGCATGCTGCATGAGTCCAGGCAAAAAGACCTGAGGGTAATTCTCATTGTTTGGACATATATTTTGGGTAAGGCTTAGAGAAGTCTGTCCCCCCATTTGCAAACACGCTGCTTCACCCCTAGTTAAGAATGAAATCTAGAATACATGGTTGTCATAGCCATACATAATTATAAATTGTTTGCTCTGTTGGAGTTGTTTTATATTGTTGTTTTATTCTTCCCAGGAAGCAGTATCCTACAACCTTTGATAATCAGTCTAAAACAGAGACACTATAAACTGACGATACAATGTTTCATGTATTTCACTGAATTTGTCCCTTCTGTGCTGATTTTGAAATCTTTCTAAAACAGTATTACTAGAAAAGTTGCCTGATTATATTTTTCAGAACATTATCAGCTGTATGTTCCTGAGTCAGCACAAGTTGGTTCTGCAGTAGGCAAAATCAAGGCCAGTGATGCAGACACAGGGTCAAATGCAGACATGAAATATACTATCATAAATGGGGATGGCTCTGGAATATTTTCTATATCAACTGACAAAGAAACACGGGAAGGAATTATTTCCTTGAAGAAGGTAAGCAAAAAAGTTGCAAAAGATTTCTTTGTGAAAATTATTGAAAAGTCCAAGGCTGGAATCCTTGGCAAATTAGGACCTAACAAGATATTTGTTTAAATGCAGAATTGTTCCTGGTGTGTGTGTACATGTGTGTGTGTGTATATGCACATGTGTGAAGATACCATTTCAAAGGGAACATAATGGAGTGCAAAACCTGTTCAGTGCTGTAGCTTGCCTTGCTATGATTTATTCTCTAAACCATTTTTTTCCTTTGACTGACCTCCATTGGAGATACAGTGCCAGTTGGGGAAACATACTCCTTGCAAGGGGACTGGTGGGAAGTGAATCATGATCAGACCAAAAAAAAAAAAAAATCCTATCCTATTCAGCCTCATCATACTTTAAAATGTAGACTATTCTTTCTATATAACTCTTGCAGTTCATTGTTTAAACCAAGGGCTCTCAAACATTTTTGAGATAAGGACCATACTCATCTTTGAATGGCAAGCCAGGGGCCATATTCTTCAATGAAGATGGAGATGAGACAAAAATTAAATTTGCTTTAGTAAAAAATAAGGCACTGTTAAAAATAATGATATATAGCTAATATGTTTGGGAATATTTAATCTATTCCATCTCATTAAAAATTATGCATCACTGGCAACTTTTGGAAAGGTGGTTTCAACGAGATGGGTGGTGACAAATTTGATATATAAATAAAATAAATAAAAATAAAACTTTTGGAAGGGTTTGGGTGGTCATACCAGGCACTTTGGAGAAGTTGTATGCAATCCTGAAGATGCAGACCTGATATAAGTACATATTACTGCTATGTATACATTTTTATTGGACATTAAGCCCTATTGAAATTGATGCACTTCATCATTAAACATATATGATATATGGGAATCTCAGGCCACCTTAGGAAAGTCAACTTATGGCTGTGGTTGCCACAGAAATGAAGAGATACATGAGCATTCCTTCAGTTACAAAAAAAATCATTCTAAAATGATATATTTATGTATGTATGTCTAGTCCACCCTCAACCATGAAAGCTCACTGGGTGATTTGGGGCCAATCACTCTCTCTCTTGGCCCAACTTACTTCCTAGGGTTGTTGTGCAAAAATAGAAAGAGAGAGAGAGAGAGATGTACTGTAAGTGACCTTGAGCTACTGAACAAAAGATGGGGTATAAATCTAACAAACAAAATAGAAATTTCTTGTAAAGTTTCTCATATTCCACATCTCCCACTTCCCCATACACTCATGAAGATTCTTGCTGGCATGATTAATCTTGCTAGAATTACAAAAGATATGGAGATTCACCCTGAAGAAAGAATTCACACAAATTGCTATGTTAGTGCCCACTGTATCTGAAGATGACAATCCATTGCTATATATAAAAACAAATACAGTCCTCTTCAAATATTCAGTTGACATATACAAGATTTTAAAGTAGGTATAGAATGGAGGTGTGCATCCTATCTGCTACTTCTGTCTCTAACTCTACTCCTGTGGTCAGTTTTGAAGGAAAATTGTGCTCATGTTGCTTGAACTCAAGTATCAGTCTCTAATAAAGAAGTCATTGGGAGTTGTGAGGCGTATAAATTTAGATGATGATGATGATGATGATGATGATGATGATGATGATGATGATGATGATGAAGGAGAAAGAGAAGGAGAAGGAGAAGGAGAAGAAGAAAAGAAAGCAAAGATAATACCAATAGTAATAGGTGCCTTAGGTGCAATTCCAAAACATCTGGAGCACCACTTCAACACCGTTGGCATTGACCAAATCACCATCAGTCAATTGCAAATGGCAGCTTTATTTGGAATAGCTTACATCCTGTGATGATACCTTTAGTATTATTAAACAATAACATCTGCCTATCCCAGGTCCTTGGGAAGGACTCAATAGGTGGACAAAAATGCCAAATCCAGTCTAAACATCTGATTGACTGTGTAACCAACCATAATAGTAATAATAATTTCTAGTTGTACCTTGTATTTTTCCACTGAGATTACCCTGATATTTTCATTCAAGGTTTAAAAGAATGAATTTTCCCTTCTTCCTTCCAGAATATACTATTGATTCTTTTCTTATTATCTATTTTGGGCCATCCTGAAAGCCGTTAATTCTTCTTCTAAAATTATGTCTATACTTTGAGCTCTATAACTGCTTTTAGGCATGGGCATTAGTTGTCTCTTATCAAATTTGGGGCCTCAATGCATTTTTGACTTTTAGTTCAGATCAAAGACTGATTCAGGAATCTTTTAGTCTCCAACATCATACATTGTGATCTAGCACTAGGTCAGGATCTCCAGTGTACTTTGATGCTTTTCCCAGGACTAAAATTACCAATTTTCTTTTCTTAAATTATTTTGTTGCCTTTTGTATTTTTAGTAAAATGATCCATTTATCTTGTTCATTCAAAAATAAGGATTAACGCCTTGAAAAGTGCTTGTTGAATAAAAATCCTGATCCTATACATGGTACAAGGTAGGCTTCTTCTCTCACTTTTGGTGTTTCACGCCAAATTTAATCCTAAATATGATGCCTACCAAGCTGGGTTTTATGACCAATTGCTGTGATAGTTTTATTATCATTTAGAGACTTTTTATCTCCTAAATTGCATGTGGTTCTGCAGTAACTTAAAAATAATTGATCCTCAGTTTAATTTCTGTGAGAACCTGCTGTGCTAGGACCTTTTTTGGATAGAACATCCAGTATCTATTTTATACAACAGTGTTCTTATGTTCTTGACCAGCTTGAGGCTTTTGGTGCATTTTAGATTCATAATCAAAATTATTTCCCCAATCTCCATTTTTCAGTCTCTCTCTGTCATAATTATTAGAAATAGTATGTTTGCCCATGTGTTAAAGAGTAGATATAGCTATCAAGCTGTTTCACTCTGCTGTAATGTACTTGCCTATGTGTATGTGTGTGTTTAATTTTTTTAATAAATAATAATAATAATAATAATAATAATAATAATAATAATAATAATAATGGTTCCACATTGTCCCAACCATCCAGTTCATTTGAATGTTTTCCTTTTGTTATATATACTGCTCAAACCAATAATGTTATCAATGCCACAGAAGCATATGTAGAGTATTATATCAGAATTAATAATTAAGACAGGTCTTTTAGAAGGATCCAAATTTATTGCTGTGTGCAGCTTATTTGGCTGTCACACTTGGGCAGCATTTGATGTGAGAGTAGGTGCTCTTGACTTTCGTTACATCATACAAGAAATGTCATTGTTCTAAAATCTCAGTGGCAGCACAAGCTGTCTCTATTTTCTATTTCGGTACATATGGATAAAGAATATCCACATCTTTATTTATCTTTGTCTTTATTGTCTTTATTATTTATCTTTATATTTATTTAAAAAAAATAAAGGACTAGGAATGCTGATGCATCCCATTCCTATCTATATGGCCAATGATCCTACATTAAAAAAATAGAAAAGGATCATTTTTTTTTTAAAGCCCTGACTTTATGTATGTGGCCAAATATGCACAGATTGTTTTTATACTATCACACAAAATATTAGGTAAGGTAAGTTACTGCAGTGTTCACAGAAAAAGCCATGTGGTTGTGTTGGGTTAATACCGCATTTGGAATGAACTGAAAATAAGCAATTCAGAAACATTTGAACTAGCATCATCTGTGTTCAGAATTTTTTTACTAAAGTCAAAGAAGATAAATAGCTTAGATAGATAGATAGATCAGAATTATAGAGAGAAAGATAAAGTTAAGGAGACTATCCAAAAATCCTAATTTTTAGAGCTATGGTCCTTTTGACATAGCATCACTACATATGTTGAAGTCTAAGTATTAAGTATTACTTAATACTAAACAATATTGCATATAACCTTGTACCTTTCCTAACCTAGCCTGCTAATAGAACTACTGTTTAGGCACTCCTCCTCCACCTCCACCTCCATCTTTTTTTTTTTCCTTCCCTTCCAGGGTTAATTTAATTTCTGGTTTTCAGCTAGGTTAACTTGCCTGGTTCTTGGTCTCAGCTTGATGGTGGTTTGAATCTTCAGTCTAATGAATTTATAACTTGGCTAGACCCTGCTGTTTCATGTTTTATCCATGAAGAATATTCTAAGTATACAGACCTGTATTATCTACTGGTATTTATTTTACAAGAAGACATTAAGTTAATATTCCACTGTGAGCGTTTATGGAAGTAATGATAAGTTAAAAATGAAAATGACAGTGAGAAAATCTTTCAGTGCATATAAGCCTTTCTGTTCCTCAAGAAATTGCATAAGACATTAATTTAGTAAAATGAGTAATAAATAATAGTCACTGACATTATCCACATTGTCATGCTTGATCTGAAGAAACATTGATAATTTTGCTATTTAGGGTAAGAATCACCCTTCTGGTTTCTTTTTCCCACCTTATTGTCTGAACACACACAAAAAAAAAAAAGATTATATACTAAACTGAATATTCAATGAGCATTACCATAACAACTCTTGTTTCATATGCAAAGCATATATCATGCAAAGCATATATCATGCATATCATATGCAAAGCATATATCAACTGTGTTGTACTTCCCCTCCTCCCTAATTAAATCTGTTATTTCCATATCCAAGATGAGTTCTGCATAGTACTGACCTTGTAGGGAACATTTGTGCCTCAGCCTTCCATGGTCAAGTCAGTCAGCAGCTGATTGTGGGAGTCATTTGGCCAATCAGCTTTGCTGGCTGCTGAATTCCCCCTATTGAACCTCCAGCTGTGTAAAGCAGCCTGGCAAACCTAGCAAGCTTTTCCATGAAGCTCCAAATGGATCTGGGAGGCAGGGTGGCAGGCATAGCATGCCATACCACACCATAGCATGGCACAGCACAGCATGATCTTTTTGTTCTCTGTCTAAGACAGGGATGGAAAAAAATTCATGGAAGGAACAGTGGAGTCCTTGGGGTTCTCTCAGCTTCTTTTCCTGCAAACATTTCATTACCCGGCTAGGTAACATCTTCAGTGCTAGAATAGGATGGGGTTTGCTCTCTGTTTATATACTGTGGCCTGCCCTGCCAGTGCTGGTGGGGGGTGGGGGTTTTGTCCCTTATAGAAAATATTTATTTTATTATTTATTTATTATATTTTCTATAAATATTTTCTATATAATATTTATTATATTTGATATATAATATTTATAGGATAATATTTATAGAATAAATTCTACTGTCTCAATTGAAAAGAAAACAAAAGACCAGAAGATCTCCTCACCAGCAATCATCACCCAGATAAGCAGAGGTTACCACCAGGCACACAATCAGGTAGTGAACAATATCCTAATCAAGGAACTACCAGAGGAGGAAAACAAAACCCCCACACCCACCAACACCGGCGGGGCATGCCACAGTATATAAAGAGAGAGCAAACCCCATCTCATTCCAGCACTGAAGATGTTACCTAGCCAGGTAATGAAAC